CGCGCATGACCCGCTACGCGCGCACGGTGGTGCTGATCGGGATTACGCGCGACCGCTCGGAGGGCCGCGTCAGTGCCAGCCGGCGGGGCCATCCCGTGGTGCAATACTGGCCGGGGGAGGCGGACCGGGGGGTCCTCCTCACCAGCGCGGAGCACAACCTGCGCGTGCTGGCAGCGGCCGGCGCACACGAGGTGAGGAGGGGCAGAGGGGCAGCCGAGTGGCGCTTGACTTGCGGTGTCACTTGGTGCCCGTCACTGGCGAAGGATTCTGGAGACATAGAGTGCGCGTGATGCAAGATTCGACGAGAGCGCTTCCACCTGGGTGCTCGAAGTAATCTTTCGTGGCGGGTCTGCAGCATGACCGTCCATGTTTGCCGAATAGACGCGTATGGGCGACACGAATTTGAAAGCTTGCTTCTAACCACAAAGGTGCTTGGCTCTTTTTTTGCAGGTTGGCTCCTTCCACGCAGCCGGCCCTCGGTTCTGCCCCGCTGTGCCGGGTGAGGTGGACCCGCGCTTCGAGACCTGGCTGGCGGGCCTGCGCAAGCGGGGCGTCCATAAACACGACGCGCCCCTGGCCTCAGCGCACCAGGTGGGCGCGCCGCATTCGCTTCTTGCTTGAACGGCAGAGCACGCAAAGTCATGACCGCGAAGTCGCTGAAACGAGTGTTGTTGTCAGAGAAGAGTTTCAGCCACGCGTCCTGCTCAGCGCACGTCAGGCACCCACTCCGCATAACACAGGTGGTTACTGCCATCCGCGTTTTGATGCGACATGCCTCCGCATAGCAGAACAAAGCTCCTGCCACGTGCCGTGCTCTTCTCTGAGCCGGTGAGGCATAACGTCATGTGCAGATGGGCAGCTGTCGCATGGGCGTGCACGCGCGCTCGTCCGTGGTGGACGCGGACTGCGCGAGCTGGGAGGTGGCGGGCCTGTTCCTGGGCGACGCCAGCGTGCTGCCCACCGCGTCGGGGACCAACCCCATGATCACCGTGCAGGTCAGGGCCCCACCCCCCCCACATCGTTGTCACGTAAAAGCGTGGCCACGTACTCAAGCTTTCAATTTTTGTATGCGGCAACGATCTTCAAGCCACAGCCGTCAATTGCGGTTCCTAAAAGAACCCCCATTTCGGAAAATACCAGAAAGCGCCATGATATGGCATTCGATCTCAAGAAGCATCGCCGGCAGGCCCCCCCGACGTTGCTTCGAGACGATCGTGAGTAGTCGGCGCGCCATTCTTCTCCTATCTTTTGACCACAGTAGAGCCTTCCCTATGGTAGTGGCAAGTGACATGTGCCTTGTGGGCTCCGTGATGAGTGCATGACGTTTCCTTTTACAGTCGATTGCCTACTGCACTAGCGACGCGATCAAGCGGCATCTAGAGGAACAAGTCAGAGTCGCTTGACCTGAAAGGAGTCGGTGCTCTAGCCGGTGCGTTGCAAGAGAGAAGCAAGTCTGGGCCAAAGAAGGCTGAAAAGCGGAACAGGTAGCATGTCCAGAAGTTAGGACCACTCAAAACAGGCCTCTCAAATGGACAAGGGAACATTAGGATCACTCATATTAGACGCCTGCATAACTGGTTGGGACAGTCACGGAGGATCCCGCGTGGGGTCCTCCTCTTAGGTCCTTGCAAAGAAGGAGAGGTGTCGAAACCGCAGAGTCTTAGGGCCTGTTAATCTCTATCTCTTCTTTGAGCCTCGTTCTGTCCACTTTAGCACAGGGTAAGATCATAGAGCAGAAAAGCTATGGCGATATCACCGAGGTGATTGGCTGTTTCTCTAATTGCTTCCTCCAAGGCCGTTATTGGTTGGTTTGAATCAAAAGGACATTGACGGGCAGCCCTTTGTGCAGAATTCAAAGAATTCCAGGTACTAAGATAATCAGTGCCATTGCACGTCGCACATGCATTCAATCAAACAGCCGGGAACAGGAGTTAGAGATGAGTAAAGTAACACCTTGACTTCAACGTGCTTGATTCAGCTCTTGATTCACGAGCACTCGACCGAATGATGGTACGGCTTAGCTGATGACAACGACGGTAGCTACACAATACGCGTTGCCGGTTGTGCTTCAATTGGTACGCGTGCAAAAAAGACGCGTCTGAGTTCAGCTGCACGTTGGAGGAGCTTTTAAGACAGATGATTGCGCGTGAATCATGAGCCGCGCTGGACACAGGGTTGCAACTTGCCGCGCTCGGATCGAGTCATGCGTGGAAAGCATGCACGCATGCAACAGGCAGCTAGACTCTCAAATCATGTCGGATATGGCAACTAGCTTCTCAAATTGGAAAACCGCCCTTACTACTGTAACCGACATTTCCGGGAGTCAACTGGGTATGGCGGCGGCATGCGCCGCGGTCTCCAGAAGTTCCGAGATATACCTATTCGTTGATCGCCCTTCTCATTGATGCAGGTTGCTATACGGTAATGATGTTGCCTCAGAGGATCATGTCGATTCAAATAAAAAGACCTGAACGCCCATGGGCGCTCCGACCATATGCATATGGTCGGATCTTTCCATACTAATTGCTCAGTACTAATCGCATATTTTCCATGTGCAATACCTATGCAGCAATCCGGCCTCATGCATAGGTGATGGTACTTTTATCATATCGCCAGGACTCCGGAGTTGGGCGGGGCGGCTGCGGCGCTTTCAAGGTTAGATATATAGCCATTAAAATTAATCGAGGCGGCTTGCAACCTGGACTTGCACGACAATCAGATTGGAACCAGTACGTGAATGATAAGGATTGACGTACACAGCCCTACTAAGCCTCCATCACACCATGCATGTAAACTTTGTTTCAATGGTGTTCAACCGAAATTGACTGAAGTCGTTGAAAGACTATCACGAAACACACGACAGGGTGTCCCAACTTTCTTGTTTACACCCAGAAGACCATATACGTACCGATCGACAGAGTTCACAACTACACATATAATTTAAGCATCCCGGAATCCTATAGGGCAGCATTCGGCGTGACTGACCAGCCTTCAACTTCGAAAATCATACTTCTACTTGTTGCACCATGACTTGACTGTAATATACACTACACCTTTTGTCACTTTTAGTCCACTGCTGGCACTTGGATTCAAGCTCAACTGAAAAGAACTACGGCTAGCAAGCTCTTTCTGTATTACGGGCCACCCAAGCGAGCTGGTATGCCCAGTTATCTTTTGACTACGTAGAGATGACTTTTTGAAAAAAGATGCTATGCCATGTAACTACTATAGAAGGAACTGAAGCAAGCAGCAACTCAAAACGAGGATCCCAACAAAGCTTTCTCGATGCAGCCCACCAAGCTGTGCACCTGCAAGATATATACTGCTTGAATCAGTTGCGTAGGTTGCGAAGAAGAAAGTCAAATGCGCCACACAACATTGAAATGACATATGTCCGCAACTCACTTCAGAAAAGAGCCTACAAATCAAGAGCCCCTAATAATCTCCATGAAAGCTATCCGTTTGATGTGGTGGTCAAAGTAAAGTTGACCACTGAATGGAATTTGTGGTGAGTCAACTCGCGGCCGCTTGCAATCAAAGGGACATGGCAAAAGGAAAAGAACAGTTGAAGCTAGGGCAAAGACAAGGAGGCCAAGAAGGGTGGGGCAGTGAAACTACACCAAGTCACGTCCCCAACTTTGTGTCCTTACCGCCAGTTTGGGGTGCAGCCCCCGTCGGAGGGAGAGCTGCCGCGGGCGTTGCATTAGTTGGCAGGGGGTGCCCCCCTGTGAGGTTGGCAGGGCTGGAGCAGAGCGCCTGCACCGCCGCGAGGCCCCCTGGGGGCACCAGCACCGCGGGCAGCCCGTGCACCACCGCACTGCCGGGCAGCTGGACGGCGTTCGCAGCGGTGATGTTCACACCGTTCACTGCAGGAGCAACCGAAGGGCTTCTGGGAGTTCTTGGGGCAGACCTTGCAAACACTGAACTTGAGTCTGCTGATGACTTTCGTAGAATCTTTTCACCACAGCTGACCTCCTGGTGTACCTTAAGAATCCGCAGATGTCCCCACTGCAAAGCGTTGTGCGACAGGGAGCACAGGACCGTCTTCCAGAAGAAAAGTTTTCGCATCAATGCATCCAGAGTCCATGACCTTGCGGACCACTAAGTTGCACGGTCGTATGATTGGTCGTATCATCGTCAAGAGCTCGTCCTGCTTACCAAGCAAAGAGGATCCCTGGGTGGTGAAATTGAGCTCCTTGCCATTGACGGAGGCTAGACTCTGCAAGAGACGCGCCGCCAAGTAAGCGATCAACTAACAAAACATCATGAAAAGGTGGAGTGCTAGATTGAGGGGATATTGGGCAACATAAAGGAAACAGAGGGGCACCCATCCTGCCCCAGAAAGCCCGCACAATAATTGCGGGTTGTCAGTTTAACAACAGCAGACGGGCTGAAGCGCGCAATAGGAGCCAAGAAGCTTTCTGTAAAAACTTATGCCCAAGAAGATGTCAAGAACACTGCGCCCGCAAGCGCTGGCCCTGCAGGCCAAGAATGAACGGAAAATCTACAGTTATACATACACTTAAGCATACTGCCAAGAACGTGTGAATTGAAGAGACATACACCGACTAGATATCAACGAGATACATGGTCTAAGCGTACTGCCAAGAAGTGTAGAATAAAGTTTCGTCACATTAAAAGCGACGCCGTTCAACAGATGCAGGCCCAGCTCGGCAGCCCCGCTCACCACTGGGGCTGCTGCAACAAGCGTACTGGAGTTATAGACGCCCTTGATGACATGGTACTCCAGGACACTGGTCAGCAGCGGTACGTCCGGCTGGTTGATGAGGCACGCGATGACGCCATTGCCCAGAGCCTGGAAAGCAGTATTAGAAGGAGCGAAAATGGTGATGCCTGTCGTGTCTGCCAGGGTGCTGACGGGGCCGGTCAGGTGGGCGTACAGCACCGCCTGCACCACTGTGCTATACGTTGTGCTGTTGAGCAGGCCCGTTAGAATCTCCAGCAGGGTGGCCCCGGGAGAGGCTGCCTGAGCTAGCGCAGTAGGACAGCCTGACGTGCTGAGAAGGCAAAAGAGAAGCAGCGCACCGAACGGCAAGCCACGGCCAGGCACACGCGCCGCCGCCATGACGAGCAGGTGACCAAGCCTGTTAGCAATTACTTCACAAACACGAACAGCCGGGTTGTCAACGCTGTACTGTGCTGCTTAGGATTCTGCTCGGTTGAATGCGGCCAGAGGACATGGCTGCTCCACATCAGGTCCGAGTAGCTGTGCTGCACAGGCAGAACAGAACTTTGCAGGCGGCGAGTGCGAAAAGTACGGCTTGGGTCCAGCTCGCACTGGCCGCAGCCTGAGGCGGAAAGCAATCTCGCACCTACCGATGACTGATATGGACGGTCGGATCTCGTTGGTGTGGTCGACCTACAAGCACGTGGAGCCATTGTCGACTTACTGCACAGGGCTTTTAAACCGCTGGATACACATTCAGCGGTGCTTTCATTCACGGCTACGATCGGACAATGGCCTGCCCGGCTGCCACATTGTGTTGTATGTCTAGTTGCTGCTGCAGACTTTTGCGCAGAGCTCATGCACCAGCTGGGTGCGCGGAAACCCTAATCATAGGTATATTGCGGCTGCCATTGGCATCGGGGACGACGGTCAATGGTGTCTCTGCAAAGGATATTCTGCGCTGAATGTGGCTGAATGCGAAGGCATTGGTCAGGACTCAGGCGCCTTCCATCTCGGAATCTGCTATTGAGTGCAATTTATCCCTCTCACCGTTCAAGAATCTTGGAGGCCTTTGGGTGGGATGCCCACGATCACAGGCTGTAGCTCCTGATATATTTTGTCAGCTGGTGAAGAATTGGGTATCAGGTTTGCCATCTTGGCGCTCTGATTGGTGTGGTATCCGACCGGTTCAGGTGGCAATTAGAGGACTGGCCATATCTGTGCAGACGGTTTCAGATCAAGTTGCTTGCAAGATAGAAAACCTTGGTGTGCGAAGTATCGAACGTGCCATTGCGTTCTACAATGCAGCCAGCAGCTTATCATCGAAGAGACGATGCGGGTCAGAGCTCCATGGAAAGCACGTATGGTGCAGAAGACAAGGGCCCTCCTGATCTGAACGAGCGGCCCACGTCAGTCAATGCCGCGTTTCGGGGGGCTAGTACCAGCCAGAGCGATGCTGATCATTTTTGGTCTCCAACCGGCAAGAGGGCATACAGCTTGTCGGATGACGAGGAATTCGATTTGCTAGACAGCACATATCGGAATGCATGGACGCACTGGGTCTCAGCAAATCCACTGGCGGTCAAGCTCATCAAAACTTTGTCTCTGATCACCCTGTGGTACCTCTTCAGCATTCTCCTGAGCTTGTAAGTTGCTCTATCTTCAAAACTGACTTGCTTGCTCCTAGAGTAAACTCCCTCAGGGACGAAGCGAATGATCTACTCGGGGAAATCGCATGCCAGATGGTGTATGATTCTGGACGTTGTGGCGCTACTTTCTGGTGCTGCCACTGCCCTCTACATCAGTTCCCAATCTTGCTTCAGCGGACAGAGAGACAAATTACTACTTCATCTGTGCAGATACAATAAGTTTCTGCTTGGGGCAAAGATGGGAAAGTTCCCCGCCCCTTTGCTGATGACCACATGCCACTTCATCATGCAATTCTGCTTCTCGGCACTGCTTCTGCACAGCTGTGGCTCCTACTTTAGACCTTCAAGCAAGCTCACATGGTTTGACTACGTTACAAAAGGTAGTCTCCCCTTGGCTGTTGATACACTGAAGGATCAAATGCACTTTGCAAATTCTTTGCCTCTTGAGATGTTGTTTGCCTCTTAAGATGTTGTTTTGAAAGCGATTCTGGGCATATGAAGTTGTCCACTGCGCAGAGATCCTTCTGAATCGGACAGCGCCGCATACACAGTGTGCGGTGCCATCATGCTTGTTGCCTGTTTCTTTCGCCAAAGCCCTCCTCCTTCTCTTTGGTAGCAGCTTTCTTTTGCTGGCACCCCAGATACTCAATTTATCCTGCCTTGTCTGCAGTGTTGCCTACTGGCACTGGGACGGCGATTGACGTTGGTCTCTCAAATCTGTCCTTGGTGTTGGTCACTGTCAGCTTCTACACAATGGTGCGTTCTGAACCCTTATGTTTCTCAGGGCAAGTGCAAGGGCAATTTCCTGGCATGGGTGGTTGATGAGCACGCTGCTTTCTCTCTGGCCTGGAAAGATGGTTCGTGGTGGTGATAAATTCCCTCCGGCATCTTACCAATTTCTCCTTGGCTGTTCCAACAGTGCAAGTCAAGCGCTCCGGTATTCCTTGTGCTCTTCGCCTTCCTGTTCCGGTGAGCAGCCCGAACCTGGAGAACAATGTTCTGAAGTTGAGGTAGTCGGCAATATGCTTACCTGATTTGCAACTCTCGAAATCGTAAGATTCAAGTGGTGGTGAAAAGTCTCGGATCGAGGTGGTTTTTCACTCGCACTCATGTGCTGGGTGCTTGAAACAGGTTAGAGAAACCGAGCTGGAGTCTGGCCGGGGTTATTGTCATCATCTGCGTTGGGGAGATCTTTACAGGTGAGAAGGCAGCTCAAAGGCGGTTTTGCATGCACCCTGCGTACTTGAACTCGAGTGACAGAGAAAGACTCTTGTTGAATCGTATCAGCAATGCACGAGAACACAGCTTTAGCCTCTGCTTGGACGAAACCAAAATCTATTTGACAACTTGCAACGCACCAAGGCGAACGCTGTTCAAAACGAAAATCGAGGCTTCCTCTCGACAGTTGCCGGCGAAACTCAGTTCAACCTGTGGGGCTTCATTCTGGTGATGTTGGCGTCTGGGGCTGCCGGTTTTCGGTGGACACTGACGCAGATTCTCCTCCAAAGGGAGAAGCTGGGTGAGTGCTGACAATTGTGCCGAAACAATTTGAAACAGGCACCGTGCAACGTTCGGGACAAAGCTTCAAGAACCTACCGTACTCCAACGTGATGATTCCGAACGATTTTATTTAGAAATATTTCCGACAATCCGACCAGGAAAGCGGGTTTACTTATGCTGATTCCGACAAGAATCCGAATGCCCTATGTTCTCGATCACTTAAAAGCGGATTTTTGGGGCTATAGTGGCCGTTTTGATGCTTCCGAGGACCATTCCAGAATGTTTGAACCTTTCCGAATTTCCACTTTCCGAACGGGAAAGCCGAATTTCTGACTTTCCGAAACATATCTCTTTATTTATTTACTCGGAACCATTACCTTGGTCTACGGTACTCCGAAAGCTGATATGGCAGGTGTTTTGCAGCATCAGCAACATCAACAGGGTACCACTAGAGGACCAATAGGGGGCAAGCTCCCGAAACATATCTCTTTTGTACTGGATCACTTGACGGAGAGTGTGGTTGCTCTTTCGAGACAGTGCTGAAGAAAGCCCGAGCGAGTAGGCACAGGTTAAGTCCGAGAAGTTGCATGATACTCTCGGTCCTAGACAGACTCTTCAGCGGACACCAAACTCGTGTGCAGGACTGAACAACCCGGTCATCACGATGTACTACCTGACCCCCGTCATGGCCGGGTCGCTGGGCCTCCTGTCAGTCTGCACGGAGCCCCTTCTCAGCCTGGGGTCCACGCCCTACTTTAACACCCGACAACATGCACTCCGAAGCATCGGGCTGATGCTGTTTGGCGGATGCCTTGCCTTCTGTATGGTGAGCCTTCTTTGCACTCGCCTTCTAAACCCGTTCAGGTCTAACCCGCCCATTATGTCCTTCTTTTCGTTGCATCTACTCTTTGCATCTAATCTGTGCTCTCCGCACACTCTCATTGCGTCTTCGCGCGCTTCCACGCTGGCTCGTCTGCCCCCCTCCAATATTGGCCTGTCCTGCTTGCTCCGCTGCAGATCATGTCCGAGTTTCTGCTCATCTCCGAGACGAGCGCCATCACCCTGACCATCGCCGGGGTAGTCAAGGAGTGCGTCACAATCGTGGTAAGGACTCGCTGCCCTTGCACGTCCGAGGCTGTCCTTTGCACTCTTTTGCGGACGTCCTGTGGTATGAGCAATTCCGTTCTCCCAGTCAATGCACGCCGCCAAGTCCCTTTACTTGCTTGCGTGCAGGTGTCCGTGATCATCTTCGGCGACGAGTTTGGGTTCATCAATGTGCTGGGGCTCGTCATTGTGATCGCGGGGGTCGGCATCTTCAATCTGATCAAGTAAGACCTCCGTTCTCCGCCCCTACTTTGCTTGGACTTCGCTAGTTTCGTTGTCGGAGCCTTTCTTGTTGCACATCTTGTGGATGAGGCACGTTGGTCGTTCGCGGGCGGCCGTTGAAAGCCACTTATGAGCCAGGAAAGCGGTTGTTGAGGATCTGACGTTCGTGAGTGGCGTCCGACCAGGTATCAGCGGATGCACGCGGGTCATACTGGGGGCGACAGCTCTGAACGGCAGCCGTTAAACGCTTCTAGCTATGAGCTCTTGGACAGAAAAGCTCGTTCATCGGAGGAGACTGCTGATCCTAGCCTTCTGGAGCAATACCGAGGTGACCATGACCAAACGTTGTCGGAAGTGTTTGGTGAGACAACGGACGTGGAGGATGGCGACGCAAGGACACATTAAAGCAGCTTCGTAAACAGAAGTTTATAACCACTTACGGCTTCCGAGTCCATTAATGTCCTTTTCAAGCGCTAAGAGAACTCTGTTTCATTCGCATGTCCCGCATTGTCAGTGACTTGTCGTGCCCCAGGCTTTGCAAGCCGCATTTTAAATCACCTATACAGACCATCTGCGGCTTTAAACAAGCTTCGTCAATTCTCATTCTTTGTGCCCAGATTAAGTTAGAGCGTGGTCGGCCGGGTTATGGAGCCTGGGTGCAGCTCGTTCATGGCATGACCCGGCCAGGTCGACGCCTTTTGGAGTATAGTTTACGTACGGCACATGTTATACAACGATATCAGGCCCATGAGGCCGTGCATGGCCGCCACTGCGGTATCGTCTAGCTATACTATGATACGCATGTGGCGGCACTCTGGCATGGAGATCCCGGCTCGATCTGCACTGAGCTATAGTGCATGCATGGCCCGATGGGCCGGCGCGGCGCGGGCTCAGCTGCCTAGCTATATAGTATATATGGGGCCCTGGCAAGCATGCATGGGCGGGCCGGCCGGCCGAATTGCATGGTGCAACCGTCAACCCAGTGCACATGCACCACATGGGATTAAATCGTTTCATGCCAGGCTGCCTGGCCATGCAAGGTATGAGCATCATTGAGCCGGTTTGGCGGCCTGCTGTACTACTCGCTTGAACGCTTACTAAATGGCATGCAACTTGATCCAGGATACTACCATAGTTCAGTCTGGCTTCTTCGTCAACTCATCCAATGATTGCAAGAAATCTGCTGCCAGCGGCCATTTATAATGCTTCTCTGATTGTTTCAGGAACATGTTGATAGCGACAGCCTCACGCTCAATTGTCACGATGGTCCTTGAGCAGATTCGCTGCAGCTTCCAACTAAACGCGGCCATGCCTGAGCTGAAGTACTTGCGCCCGGTGTGCCATGGCAAGGCTATCTCGACTTCTCTGTGCAACATTAGATGGGACCGGTTGATTGAATGGTGGTATCTGCTAAGCTGCCACAGGTCCGAACTGCTCTCAACTAAGGGGTACTAGCTGGCGAAAACCATTCGTGGTTCGACATCAGACCTTTCCACTGTCTAGCTTGATAAATTTACCGTTTTACTCTTCCTTCCCCTTCACGACGCCCACATCGGCTGGACGGATGACTCGGTCATTGAGGCTATAGCCCGCCTGCACAGACGAACGCTCTGATGAACGACAAACGAATCCTTGGATTCAGGAACCTTCGAAATATGCCAGGCGCACAGGAGTTGACCAGCCAGCTTGAAAGTGTGGAAAAGAAGGACCTGAATCTCGGGTATGACATTCAGAGGATGAGGCCGTGGTTTGACAATGTCCTGCGCAATCCCTGCGCCCCTCCACAATTGCTGACGTTGTGCTGAGACCCCGGCCCCGCTCTGCCTTCGAAGCGGTGCTTCAATGCGGGCGGAGTAAGAAAACAAAAGTTTGCATGCTGCTAGTCCAACGCGAGGGTGCCCCTCCTGCTGACCTTCATGACGTGCGCGACGGTCCCCGCCGGCTTGCTAGGGTCCTCCACCTCGAAGACGGCGTTGTGGTGGTTGGGGTCGAAGGGGGCCCCCAGCGGGTCGGACCGCTCCAGCCCGTGCCGCTTGAACACCTGGGCGAACCGCGAACCGGAATGGGTGAGCACTCGAGGACTAGGCGAGTACCTACAGCTTTGAAGGACAACTTTGGGCGGTCGACCCGTTTCTTAAACGAATCGTGCGGGCCGCTTTTACCGCCCCTGATCGCAGGGCCAGAGGGGCACAAAGGACCACCCGCCCAAGCGAACCAAAACAGTTGTCTAAGCCGGGGCTCTACTGGCCTGCCTCGAATCTCACAGCAAACGTCAAGGATCCTTGGAAATGTAGACGTTGAACGAGAGATCCGTCCCATGCAGAGGAGGACTTCTTGAGAAAGATCGCGTCTCAGATTGTCACTTCAGTGACGTGGAAATTGACGTGTCGTTCTCCTGAACGGCAAAGCTAACAACGCCAGCATTTAGCTGCTCTGGAAATGCGTGCAAGATGGCCCCTCGAAGTTCGGCAGCCCGAACTGGAACACCTGGTCATCGAAAGGCAAACCGAGAGGAGGGAACCCGGTGTGTCAATGACTGTAAGGAAGAAGACATGCCACTTCTCGCACCAGACGTTCTCAACGCAAGGACGGGCATTTGACCTCGAAACGAGAGAAGACGACAACAAGAGTCGGCTTGCGCGTGAACCACACAAGCGGCCATCTCGGAATTGCTTGTGCCACCGTTCAACTAAACCCTTGAATTGATCAAGGGCTTTCTTTCGGCCCCAGCCATGCACCGCTGCGTCCTCACCTGCTGCAGCTGGTTCTCCGTCATGTTGACCCCCACCAGCAGTGACCGCAGAGCCTTTTCGGCCTCGCTGCCCCCAGTCCCATTTGTTTTCCGGAATTGCTCCGGGACAGCTCCCGTGGCCCGGGACAGATTGTCGGCCACATCGAGCAGCGATCGTGCGAAGCCCTGGACACGGCAGTGGCAGCTTCTTCGGTCATCTTGTTAGCAGCTTCAGAAATTTTTTAAGCGGTTGAGTTTGTTCGCTGACCACCAAGAACTCATATGCTAGACGAGTAAAAAAAGCTGACAAACGGCATTGTGCCTGCTCTGACTGCTGTTGTCTAGCTCCCAATGCTGTTGTCTAGGTTCCAATGCTGTTTCCTGACACAACCTTATCTAAAGCACAAGGCTCCGTCAGCTTCATCAGGGGGACACAGCTTTTGATGAATTGGAAACAACAAGCAAGAGAGCTGGAATCCATATTCCAAGTAGCTTTCAACATTATCATTCCACATTTGAAAGTAATTGGTATCTGAACAGCCTCATCGCAATGCTGCATATCTTGCCACAGGAGCACACACCTCTTTTTCCACCACCCAATTTTACCATGGCGCCACTTTGGGTGACTGCTCACCGGCGGCGGGGGCATCGAAGCTCCCCCTCATCATGTCACAATGGCTAAGAAAATTTTCTTATGGAAAAGGATACAGTAGCAGACTGTGAGGGGGTCCCAGATAGGCTGTCCGTTTCCCTGACCTGGAGGGCAAACTTGCGCGTGTTGTCGGCCTCCCTGGCCGTCCTCTCCCGCAGGTTCTCCATCTCCGCCAGCGTGCGCAGCACTTTCTCCTGCAGCTCCTTGATCTGCTCCCCCTGCTCGTCCAGCACCACCTCGCGCTCCGCCAGCATCTGCACCAGCTCCTCCTTGCTGGCATCCACGTCCCGCCCTTCAGCAGGCCCGGCCTTCGCCCGCGCTTCCGATGCTTCCGCCTTTCCTGACGTTGAGGCCTCGGCGCCATTGCCGGTCTGCGACTCACCCGCAGTGCTGCCCGGAGCATCGGCGGCCGGGGCCATGCAGGGCTGGCTGGCCCAGGAGGCCGAAGAGAAGGAGGAGAGAGACTGGGGGGCACTGAAAGAGCCTGCTCTGCCTACATTTTGGAGCGGGTGGGACTCGCAGTAAGCCTGCATAAAGACAGCACCGAGAAGATTCAGCTCATTGCAACTGATCAACGCATGATCTGTGATCTGGCAGCCTTTAAGAGCCGATTCTATTCTCAGTGGTTCAATCACTTGGCCGATTTGCCGAAGCAAGGCAATGCTGGGCATGCATGCGCTCGGGTAAGTTCAGGTTGCACGGAATTCAGACATCTAAATGATTTGCAGATGCAATAGTTAATCAAGGGAGAAAGAGAAGCACTTTGGTTGACCACATCAATAGATCTCAATGCTATCCATTAAAATCAGCACCGGAACATTGTCAACAACTTCCCTGAAAACGACCAGACAGTCAAAACCCTTACCAACTTACTACCACCATATTGAAAAGCACCAACTCAAGACAAAGAGGTGCAAACTTAGAAGCACGTCACCTGCGCTGAAGTGGTTGGGTATGATCCATTCCTTGCCACGGACTCCGTGGCCGCCAAAGCCCGAGTTCGAAAAGTGGCCGCATGCTGTTCAATCACTCTTTCAAGGCCATGCCGCTTCTGCCAGGCGCCTCTGAGCACACCACTGCCACGATGCATCGTTTCACCCAAGTGGCTGCGATCAATCGTAACTTCCTCTGCTTGATCTGAGCAAGAGGTAAGTGTGGCGAAGGGACTGACGCTCCTCGAGCTCGCTCTTGGGTCTTCCCTCTGGACCCCTTAGGCTTTGGCGCCCTTGACTCTGAGCAACCTGGACTCTTGAGCCTGAGGCAAGTTGAAATCTACCGTCGCCACGCGAAGACGGTCCAGGGTGGCGCCCTAGCTGCAGATCTTCGAAGTTCGAGCAGAACTTGAATTGTAACTTTTAATATTGCTCATAGTATGGCCCTCCAAAGTCTTAGTTGTGTGACTTCGGACGGTCTTGCACGCAATATCTGGCGCGAAACATTCTCCATTCAATGATGACTCAGAGTTGCCGCCGCGGCCACGTGGATCGGGAGTACCCACCCCTAGTTAGACGTGCCGGTCCGTGCAGGCTAGGCTGAGTCATGCAGGTCCACATTCACTAGGTATACCGACCGTAAATGACCAGCTTTCAATCACGGGGGCAACTTCAGGTTCTCTCAACGGTTAACCGTAATAAGCATACAATTGTGTGCAGCAGGCTAGCGATTCTGCCTAATTATAGGTGGTAGGGCATTCAAAAATCTTTGTATTTGGATCAATGGGTGCATCGGCGATCTATAGCTTTGTGCCTCTGTTTGAACAAGATGGCATGCGTAATCTGGTTGTTCGAGTCGAGAATTACTGGTTTGAACACCTTGATCTGCACGGCCAGACACATGATTGACTAATGCGACATGAACAAAACCTACTATCTTTCGACAACTGGCAGCCAAAAGGATTGAAGTCCTTGCCTTCACCTTCTCCTGCATGTGTAAAGATCTTATTGATTGACGTTATTTTGCAGCAACAAACCTACGCGGAGTGGGCCGGTCGGTACTTGTCGGACAACTCGCTGGTCGCTACCTCAACCTGGGGAAGAAACGTCACCCCTGTGTGCTTACCTTTCTCTAGGTGTCGAGTAACCTGCGAATCACACCGCCCCTCGTTACTGATGCCTAATCCTAGCAAAAACATTTGGACCCCTTCCTAGAACCTACTTCGTCTTGTACTTGGAGTACGTTGCCGCCAGCAAGGCTGCACCTATGCCTGACCCGTCTTTCGTAAGCTCCAAACTGACGAGTTTCGCATTGTCCCCGAGCAGCTGCCCGATGGTTCCTTGCATGGTGTTCCGGAAGAACGCGTAGTGCTCAAAGAGGCCTCCGTCCACCCCCACCACAGTCGGTGCCCCCGCCGTGAGCCGTGCGTTCAACTTCTGCGAAGAGCTGAAGCGCTTGCTGCTGCCGTCCCGGCCAATCTTCTTAAGCACGCCCACGATCCCCGCCCCCGCCAGGCGCGCGCCTCTCTCGACCACGGTCTCAATCAGGTCGACGACCAGCTCCCGCTCCTCCTTGGTGGACTTCTCGATCTGGACAAAAAGGTTGGTCATGAGCACCGCTGAGAGCCAAGAGGCGTGTTGCTTGCAGGGAACGATGACTCGAGAAAGTCAGAGAATCACCGTGCTTCAAGACATGTGACGCACTGCTTGCGAGACAGAATACAGCCATGCTGAGAAGACTCTTTGTCCTTGGAAAAGATGTACGAAAGTGTCCGCAAAGCTTGAACCTGCTCGAACCTGCAAGAGACAGCCAGCCTCATAGCGCAACTTGGTCAGTGCACGAAGTGGCTCGCTCGTACATACATGTAAGAAAGACCCCAGGAGCTCGACTTGTCGAAAGGCGAACTGCTCCAACCAGAGACGACGGGGACTCACCCCAAATCTGTTCTTCAACATCCTGCCAACAGCTGTAAGGTCGACGGTCTGGTCTCCATGTGCCTGACTGATGTCGGGAGTCCTGCAGAGGAATGAGCCCGATTGACGGATCCGCGACACTTGAACGCGGAGTGAAGAATGAGCTTGTGCTTAAGGAATTGAAATCGCTGCCAAAGGTAGCTGGCATTGAGCGAATGAATCCATAGATGACCGGATGCACATCGAGCTCACTCTTTTTCTTATCAGAGCCTAGCCATTGTTTCCACGCTTGAACAGAGGACGCAAACTGAGCCGAAGTCATCGACATAGCAGCTCAATAATGGTTCTGGCAGCCGCCCTAGAGCCTCACTTGAGCACGAATCTTTCCCGAAGCTTCTCCGTGACGCCGTCGAAAATCTCGCCCTCTTCGGCCAGCTTGAGCAGCACCCGCCGCACGATCTCGCCCAGGTACATGCCCGAGATGAGCTTCTCGAACGGCTGCTCCCCGGGGTTCACGCTCACTTCGTCCAGCTCGCGGTCCACGTCGGTGATGGGCAGGTGCGCTGAGTAAAAGTCGCCCCACTCCATGTTGATGACCTGCGCAACAAGAGAGCAGCTGACGACTCCAGGCCGATCACAGAACGTATGGCGAAATTGATTTGAGCCCTGGCCACGGCTTCGCCTATGTGACGGAGGGTGCGGAGCTGAGGCTAAGGAGGTGCCACTGACGATAGACTGAAGGGCTTCCTCCAACCTGTCCACTTTGCATAAGAACTTATTGAGCAGCTTCCGAGGTTGGCTGTACATCAAAATCTATATGTCGTGGTTTGTCCTCCACAAGCAAGCTGCACCGCCTGTGGTCTCAGTCAGGCTGCTCCATACAGTCGCATAACATCAGTGGAGTTCTCACATCCTCTCTCCCTTCACCTGTTGAGCACAAAGATGGAGAAAGAGGCCTCACCATTTCCCCGGACTCCACAGGGCCTCCCGTCCACTTTGGGATGTCGTGGATGTCCTCCACATAGCAGGCGTTTGATCCAGTGCCCAGGATGAGGCCCACCATGACGTCATTGTTGTTGTACCGGCCCCCTGCCAGCGTGCCGACCGTGTCGTTCACCTGTAACATATAGAGCTGAGTCAGCGTACCCATGATAAAAGGCACAATCCAATCCTAAACGAGAGGCAGAAGACAGTGTCTGCCACCAGAGTGATAGGAAGCGCAGAACCCACAGGTTTATAGGAACTGTGCTCCTTACGATGGGGGGCAAGCGACAAATGAAATGCATTTGCAGCGATTTTGTACACCACTAATATGGTGGCATTATCTAGGCTAAATGCAGCTTGCCCATTCCCAACCTCTGACAGATGATTGTGTGCCTTACCAGAGCCGCAACTCTCATGTCCACTCCCTTACGGGTCAGAGCCTCAGTAAGCAGCTTGACAACATCCTTGCCAACCTGCAATTGAAGCCATGATTGTAATTGCATGGTGCAGAATAAATGCAGGGGGGTTCTTGAAGCTGGTCATGCAGGAGATTCTAGCAAGAAAGATACTTCAAAAGAATTCTTCCCGTTGACTCCTCGAATGTAGTCAGAAAAGACATATTCTGGGGACATAGTGGCAGGTGGCCCTTGCACCAATGGTACTAAATACTTGTTTTCTGTTTGTGTAGATGTTGTTTGAACGTTTGGCCACATTTGCGGAGTTCAAAGAAAACTTCTGCTCTCACCGTTTCAAGATGGTGCAGGAATTCTTTACTGGTCGAAGACGGTAGAAGACCAATTACAAGTCACTTGAGCTGAATTTGAACGAGACGCAGACTTCTAAGAAATTTTGCGGGAATATGGGCCCAGTACCCTCATCAACGCCCTTTGACTTTTGAAGGAAAAATACCCTGGTTCTCTGGGAGGAACTGAAAAGATACTTAAAAGTTGCTGTAACAATGGCGAATGTACAAAGCTCAAATGTTAAATCTGAAGCGGGAGTGAATGGGCCAGCCCCTAGGCAGATTAGGTCGAAAGAGGAGAAGGAAGGCTTTCAGAAGCAGGAGGTGACTCCAAGCAGGGGTAGAGTAACCAGATCAAGAAGGCATGGGCAATGCACCCTGGTCAGCACCAGGTGAGGCCCAAGAAAAGTGTTCGGGCGCCATTCTGTGCTTTGTCATCTTCGCACATCCCAGAACAAATCGATGATGAAGTACTTACTGTGCCAGAAACTTTGAAGCCTTTTGTCCACCTGACCAGAGTGCCTCCATCAATGGCCGTCTGGTTGCAAGGGAAAGAGAATGTGAAACCGAGCTCCCGCTTCTGGCCAGGTGGCAGGGAGCCGTACTCTGGGCCCTCGGTCTTTTGAAACTTCGCAACCTCATTGGCGATGAAGTCAAAGAGTTCCTGCAATAACTAAGCATCTTATGGATACAGGGACCGCAGGTGCCACCACCCATGTTGTTGCATCTAGATTTCAAGGTTGCCAGTGAGGAGATTGAGCAAACCCTAAAATAGTCTTCTTACTAGTCTTCTTGCTTCTTGCTAGAGTCACCCACCTGGTCCGCTTTCTTCTGTGCAACCTGAATGAAGCTTTCCAGTTGCTTTATCAAGCATTTTAAAACGCCAATACCACAAACCAATTGCCACTGAGAGCGCTGACCTTCAGCGTGAGACTGCTGATTTCTATTACAACACAGGTTAACGTCAGGGCTACATGACACGCAATCATTGCTTTGCGGAGTCCAGTGCATCTCATTAGGGGGAATCCTTGTGGAGAAGAATTTTACTTGGCAGCGCTTACAACAGCAGTAGAAAGTCAAATTAGCGCCGCAATTCAAGAAGCTGCCTTGGTCTCACCACCATTCTGCCTCATCATGCATTCTACGGGCTCCTTGGGTAGTGCTAATTCTGAGCTACATTTGCGGTCACTTGTGTTCACCTTTCAGGACCTGATTAATTGCTGAAGCTTACCTCGCTCGTGCCCAACATAGCCTCCGGTGGGATGCTGACCTCAATTGACTCGGACTTGTCCACCCGCTTAGCTTTTCCTGCCAGCTTAACGCGCATGACTCTAAAGTTGGTACCTCCCAGATCCAGCGCATAGAACACGCCTCGCTCATGGCTGTCAAGAACAAACAAAATGTTGAGAATTTTCAACTATCAAGAACATGCAGTATATGACCAGTTCGCCTCTGCGATTTGGCAATTGACAATATCAAAGAGTCTGTGGGTCAACCGATTGCAGGGTGACTAGGTCTCCATAGCTGCATGTCACAGACGAGCCAACTTTTCAAGAGGAGCTCTCGGAGGGCTCACCCATTGGGGAGCTCGTCCACATATGAGATTAGCATCTTCAGCCTGCTTCCCCCATCTTTGATGAGGCCAGCATGCATCTCCGTGCACAGCGCATTGGAGATGGACCGCAGCTTGGACAAAGGTGTAGAGGCGGCCTTGCGGAATTCTTCGAGCTTATAAGCTGCAGTCGACTTTGCTTTCACCACATAGACCCTCTGATATACGGCGTAAGCTGCAATTGCTACTGCAGCACCTGCGCAGATCAGAGCAAAAGTTGACGCTCCACGACTCGTGCTTCCATTGTCAGACATGTTTGCAGATCAGGCAACACCACTCCCTGCTGTATGCAGAATTTCAAGGTGGAAGAATGCGAATTGGCTTCTCCAGCCTTTCAAGTTCCAGCTGCTGTCATCAGCAGCTATGTTGCGGGCAGTAGGTGCAGCCCCACAACCGTTCCTCGGAGCGATGGATCCACCTGGGAGGACCTCTAAGACTACGTGTGGCGTCTCTGCCGAGATGTCGCCCTGAACTTTGGACGAGATAAGAAGAGCATGCTGCTCATGCAGTGCAGCTAGTGCTCAGCGTTTCGGACAGACCCCAAACCAAATTTGGGAATATGTGCACCGCGTTCGCACGCTCACATTTAACTGTGACATCACACGCAGATGATTACTTTCAAGAAAACCAATCACATGCGACGTAAGTGCCACGTGCATTGAAATCCGCTCTCAGCAATGCCATGTGGCAACTGAGTCAGCTCAACTGAGGTCATCACCAGCAATAGGTACAGCCCGCTAGCATGCATGGATAATGGTCAACACTGAACAGGCGGCAGGCCCAGGCGGTCTGAGTGGGCATTGCGCAATGCGCAGCCGGTACCGTATTACGGTACTTTAAAGTCTTTGATACTGTTCAGATTGAACTGGAATGCTCACTTCTTCAGAACTTCAGTCTTGAGCTTGAAGTTGATTTTGAAGGAGCATCTGGCATGGCAGCAAGAAGTCAGCCCATTGGGGCTTCTTACATTCAGCGGCAGTGGAACAGACTGTCCATCTTTCAGGTCAACATGATCTGCCTGATGATCGTTCTTGCAATGACAGGTGCTGTGAGCTGGACGGACATGCTCTACCCGTTTGCTAGCACCCTGTACATAATATTTTTTGCAGCAATCATATTCCCTCCAGTATCTGAGCAACCACCAGAGAATCCATTCAAAGGAAACACGGTTTTTAAGTACTACGTCACTTTTGGGGCATTCATAGGTCTTCTAGTCCCATCCGTCTTCATTCTCCTGTCTTTCATCTTGGGTGATAGCGACGCTGTCGTGTCTGCTGTTCCACATTGCTTCCTCTTGATAGCCCAGATTGTTACAGAGGGGTTTTCAGTAGACCCTGCAGTTTCCGCTCCTGTCAAAGTCCTCATCCCTGCAAGCTACAATACGAAGCGGCTTGTCACTTTATTGCATTGGGTCAGAAGAGCTACCGGACAAGAGGTGCGATCAGCTTGGGCGTTGCCATGGCAAGTGATCAACGCTCTACTAGCCCTTAGCAACCTGGCGTTTTGGACTTACAATCTATTGGGATTCCTTTTGCCTGTCTATCTGCCAAAGCAGTTCCGAGTCTATTACAAGCAGGAAGTTGCTTGGAAAGAATCACTAGATTCAAAACTCCAAAAATCTGAAGGCTTCAACTCTCAAAATAGAAACTGATTGAGGATGTTCTAGACGGTTGCCAACGACTGACAGCTAGAATCAGTGAGCGGATGAATCTCCGCAAATGCAACATGTGCCATCATAGAATCGAGATGAAAACCTCAAGATGTAAGATCAGCCTCACTAGGGCCCTGGATCAGTATGAAGCTATCATTGACTATAAATCCTTTGCACTTCGAACTGATCTTGGACGGAATAAGTCCGTTGAGTGTTTCAGTGTATCATGTGGGGCTACCGCAATTTGATGACAAGATCGCAACGTCAAGATGCATGCTGCAAAACCCACCTATGTTTTACTATCTATCCACTGCTCCAATTTCGACTTAATTGCGAGTTTTGCATGACCAATTCTCCAAAGATAGTCACTTCTCGCGTTGAAACCTGTGGTGGCAGTAGATGCAGGATGTGGCGGCCCGTTTAATGAGTTAGGACGTCACTTTCTCAGTCACAGCTCCTCTCACTAGATTGAAATTGCAGCAGGCTCTTCCTCAATGGTCGGCCGTCTGCATTGGGCCTGGGGCCCTGCCACCCATGCAGAGTTCGGCAATTAAACTCAGGAACTTTTCAATGATTGTCATTGCAAGAACCAAAAGCTAGTTTGATCACGCCCGCGTCTGCATCTTTTCATGTCAGTGCGGCGTCGATCAGAGACCATGCATGCGATCAGGGTATACATACAATGTTGCCCATTGAATGCATTGCGTGATTCCCCCACTGCACACGTTATCATTCTTGCCTGCGTTCAGCTAGGGCACTAAAGCTTCAAGACCAACTTAGACCTTGATTGAGTGTGCATGCGATGGAAGTCATTCGCGTGCAGCAGTACGTCCAACCAGGTTTAGATCAATCGACTTCATGTGCCACATGTTGGCTACAAATCTACACGTGCCAAATGACAGGCTCGATCTAGATTGATGCAACTCTACTATATGCAAAATTTGCAAACGGAAATAGATTCCAAAGCTGGCTGTTGGCAAACATCGATCGATGCATCAATTGTCGAGCCCAAACGGCTTAACTTCTTGGTAACTACAGCAAGTACACTAACGGCTTCAGAGACAGCAACACGTTGATGATTTGATATCAAGCGAGCAACGTATCAAGTAATTACCTGATGTCAATGAATCGGGGATAAGATGTATCTCGTCAATCATGCCTACTCTTGTCAACTATTTACAACCCGCTTACTACCTTCAGCAGACTGCAACCCCCATTTTGGGGTGCAGTATCTTTCACAAAGGTCATGAGAATTCACATGTACTGAAGGCAGTACAGGAGCCTCCTATGCAGGCCCGTCCTTCGAACTCCCTTCTCCAGCACTCCTTTTCAGGTCGACTTTGGTTGCATCCGTCTCTTCCAAACTCCCTGCCTGCTCTCCCCTCTCGACGAACTCTTCAGCAACATCGACATCCGTTGCCTCCTGCAACTTTTCATAGGCGGCGAAATAGTCCTCCTCACCCCGTGCAACTCGTCGTAAGTGCTCTGCAGACTCGTCGCCCGTTGCCTGTCCAACAAGAACGTCGCAACACAGTCAGTGCTCATGTTTTCGTTCAGACTGCAACTACTCCTACCTTGCTTTCATTGCAGGGCTCCTTGTTCCTCTTTCCACCGCAGTAAATACCAAGGTGTAAAAGCTGGAAGCAACGAGTGCTTTTCAGAGATGATTGTGCATCATGAGCGAAGATGCGGGCGGGAAGCAACAAGCGCACGTCTGTAGTGTACCATGGAAAGCTTTGAACCACTGTCTCCTAACACAAAGGGTTACGATTTTCCTTCAACAGAAAATCAGTCATCAACTAATTGATTCTGCAGGTTCTTTTTGAACCACTCAAAAGGAGTTCGCCAAACCAACAATTGGGTGTTTGCCGCGACGACGCACCTGGACCAGCGCTGCGAACTTGCTGTCGGGCGTGTCCAGCAGTGCGGCAGGCGTATCATACTCCGCCAGGTGGCCGTCCTCGAGGAGCAGGATGCGCGAGGCATCGATGACCGTGTTGATGCGGTGCGCAATGATCAACATCGTCGTGTCCTTCAAGTGCGTCCGTATCGTGGCCTGCGTCAGCAAGGGATGCAATTAGGATCGTGCGCAATAATCAACATCGTCGTGTCTTTCAAGTGCGTCCGTATCGTGGCCTGCGTCAGCAAGGGATGCAAACAGGATCGTAAGCGCAGACAATGAAGGCCAACACGAGAACGACGAAGCCCCTTGACGACGTTTGCAGCAAAAGTCTGGCAAAAACGACTGCAGAAATCAGCAGAGCTATATCTATAGGACTCGGACAAGAGACCCTCTTTCGCATTGCGGGGACTGTGACCAAGTCTTGTTTGTGGGATGAGAAGCGATTGGAGTCGTAGGCGTTTGATTACGGCTCTCACCTGGATGAGGCGGTCAGTTTCGAAGTCGACGCTGCTCGTCGCCTCGTCCATGATGAGCACCCGCGAGTTGCGCAGCAGCACACGCGCCTGCACGCAACACGTCGCACACATGCCACGAGTCAGAGCGCTGCACGCACAACGGTCCTCCTGCCAGGCCAAGCACACGCTCGCACACGGCGGCCTCCCGCACCGACTTCGTTCAGCGTTTAAACAAAGGCCCAATACACCTGCATTTGTCGCCCGGCCAAGAGATAATGCTGCCCAAGACGGCCGGTCGCCTGCGGTGCTTACCAGGCAGAGCAGCTGACGCTCCCCCACTGAGAAGTTTTCGCCGTACTCGACCACCTCGGCCTCTAGCTTGCCCGTTAGAGAGGACACCTGCACAGCATCAACACCGTTATAAGAAAGCCAGACAACGACAAAGCACAACGCCTCATTTGATGCCTGATGAATGTTCAAATTCAGGGAAGAAACAAATCTGGTCAAGCATGTAGAATCGAAACTTCCTCAACCCGCTGAACACGACAAAGGGCAATCGCCCGACCTACATAACTAAGCATTAGCAGATTCTGCTCAAAACTTCGCCGGCGGCCTGCTGTGCGCACCTTGTTCTTCAGGTGCGC